GTTCGGAGTTTCCATGGCAGCTTATTGTGGCACACCGACTTGAGTGCAACGAATTGAATGAATCTCCCTGGTGGGCATCACCACCTCTCTACAAGAGACTCAACAGAAGAACATGAAGTTGCTTTGCCCTTGGAAACACCCTCGGGTTTCAAGTTGTACTGGGTATCTGCATTATCCGTATCCTGCACTGATGGCTTTCAGTGACAGCTTCAACCCGTCCCCACCAAAAGGCTTGGGACTCAGTCATTGAGCTTCTACTTCCTGGGTATTTTGAATCCTTTCGGTCGCTACTTTGCTTCACGTCTTTTGCGCCACTGCGCACTCTGTGAGGCGCAGGCACAGCGCAGCCAGCGGCTGTTGACGCATGTCTTCCAGCATCGGGACCGGCGGGGAGCGACCCCGGCCCCCGGCGGTCCGAGTGTTTCGGTCCTCGCGTGGAACCGGTCGTCAGACGGGTCGGGTCGAGCCTCTCCGTGGCCGATCTGGTTGAGGAATGGAAGTCCTGGAGTTGCTTGTAGCGAACGAAAGTTGCTCTTCGCCGAGATATTCAGATCTCACTTTGGTGTGACAAGGCAGTGTGAAACCAATCCGGGGTTCCGCTGGGCCCACCGTTCGCCTCTGGAAGTCTCGAACTCCAGGACCGTCAAGCGATCCAGCGTTTGCTGCGCAGCAGCTTCAGCCGTTTTCAGGCGGTTTTTTGGGACTCGTGGAGGGTCTTGGGCCTTGGCGGTTCTTTTGGTAGAAGAACAGGGTTTTCTATGGGGCAATCCTCCATGCAGCTGAGTCACTGTGGGCACCCAGGACAGCTGTTGCGGCAATGACACGTCTCAGACATGCAACTCACCTTGGACTTTTACTGCCATGTGAGGGATGGTCACAAACTCCTTTGTTAGCTCGTTTGGGAATATCACATGGGGCTATTTCTTCCCAAAGCCTATCCATATGGAGAAAGACCGGTTAAGACCTCACAGACGGACCTCATATCCCTTTGTCAATGTGAATGGGGAAAAACGTTCGTTATTTAATCATACGTTTGTTTTTCCCAAGGGATATACATGGCAAAAAAGGAACATGGCGGTTTGAACAACGCACTGCACCCTTCCGATGGCACACAACACGTTAACGATCCGAGATCCGGGTGTGTCCCAGTGAACATTGGAACGGTCGGTAAAAGAAAACAATCACTCGTTTTTTGAGTGCAAACTAACCATCATGAACTCATCCATGGTTTCATGTCATCATTGTCATCAACTGGATGACTTCAGATGACTCCCGGGAGGTTGGGAGACTTAAGTGATCCACTGACCCCTGCGGCCTCAGGCGGTGGCCCGCAGCGGCCGCCGCGCGCGGGAGGCGGTTCCTTGGAGCATCGGGTCGGGGCCGGGGGGGGGGGTTTCCAGTCGACTCGGTGTCCATCTCCCAAAGATCGAAAGCGACCATCCAAGCAGAGCATCCAAATGCACTTCTCCTATGGAAAAATACATATATGTTGATCAATCGTAGAATCCTGATGCATAATTGCATCATACGTTTGTTTGTTTCGGGAGGAAGCATCTCGGTGGGTGTGGATGAATCGATTGTGTTCATCTAAAGCTTCTTGTGAGTATCTTTGTGTGGAACTTGGAGCGGTTTATTACTATAAATGAAAGTCCCACCAGATCTCGGACTTGAGAGGTGTGGAAGGAGCCCACGTGGGTGGAGACAGAAACAGGATGAAGCTCAATTTCGGTGGTCGAACAGAGGCAACAAGACCCCCAAGATTTATAGCACAGCGAAGTGAACGAAACTCCGAGATGAGGTCCCACTACTCTCCCGGCAGACCTTAGTCGTAGTCTTTTAGGAGGTTGAAACCATCAATGAGATTTCTTGTGATCTACAACGGACCAGACATCTAGAGAACTGGTATGCCAGAGGAAGGTCACCCAAAACCACTGCCTAGATCGACGCAGATTGGGGATGTGAGGTTGACAGCTAGCTGTTAGAAGGCAAGGAGCATGATATAGCAGCATGTTTTAGTTCGGTGTGTACTCTTGGCAACCAGGGGGACGCTGCCCTAAATAGATGGCACAAGCACCCAACATGTAAGTGTCGGTGATGAACCTGTGGTAATTTCCATGTTCCATGCCCTTCCCTTCCATGTCACTCTCAGATTCACGGGAATCACGGGTTTTTCCATCATCACCAGACCAAACACCTGTGCAAAAAGAATGGACGAAATGGCTCACCAGACGGTCAACCCGAAAAAAGGGACCTCCACCATCGGCCCGAGGTCCACCGTCGGCGGCTGCTGCTCTTGCGGCAAATCTTCCTTAGCTGGAGCGGGTGGTTGAAGTGACGGGTGGGGAAAGTGCCTAGTGTCTGAGGTTGGAACAGGCTTTGTGGTTTTCTTTGCAACATCATTACCTAAATTAAGTTCTATTTTTGGGTTGACAAGGGGATAGTCGGGTATTTTTAATCTGTGGCCCAGCTTCCCATAGTGTTGATGGAAGAAAGCCTGCGTGATCACTTCTGAAAGCATGGGGCATTCCCAAACTTACTACTTTTTACTAGCAACTGACAGCTAGGCCCATACCCACAACAGTAGGTCCTTGATTCATTAACAAGAAACTGCCAAGACTATTCACGCCCTTGGATGAACATCACCCGCAGCCCCCTGAGAGCCGGGGTGGTGAATTCCAGACCCTTCGTCTGACGCCCGCGACGCGGGCGTCACAGGAGAGGGCGAGTCTGGTGCGGCAGCCTGGGTTGGACCCCGATCACCGGGACCACCTGGATGAGTCGACCGGTTCGAAACGTCGACCGGGTCTTTCGCGAAGGGGGGGGGGCGTAGAAGCGAAGGCCAAGAAAGAGATTCACAGTGCTCTTTTTCACACTTGCATGTAGCTTGCGGGTGCAAGTTTTATGTTCACAAAAGTCACAAACATGTCCCGAACACTGCATGCGGTATTTCTTTTTCGTAAAGGTAGAAGCCCGGTAAAAGATGTTTCAATACTTCTAAAGGATCATTTCCCAGTCCGGAGTGTGTATTGTGAGCGGAAGTGTAGTCTTCATAGTGTTTAACCTTGGTAAACTTCTCTAGCTGTTCTGGAACCCAAACTCTTTATACCTGCAAAGTAACAGATGCATCCCCATGTGAGGAATGGTCTGTTCATTTTGATGTGACCAGGCACGAAGGGACAGAGGGAAGGACATCCCAGTTTCACCTGAGCGCGTTTTAACAAGTTATAAGCATCCCTCATGTCAGGTGGAGGTCTAGATTATCTCCCTAGAATCAATTGGCCATTGGTCATTGGTGCAGGTGCACTTCTTCGTTTGCTTGGAGTCCGGTGGAGCTCGCCCTCGCCGCTCTCATCCCGAACCCATGCGGCAAGACATCCGAGGAAGGATCCATGAACCCGTGCATGAAGGTCACTCTTTCGCCCATGGATTGGCTTAAGACGTGTTTTTCCATTTGGTCTGAAGCCCACTTGCCTTGAGGACCCTTGGGGGCGGTGAAGCCGAAGCCGCCGAGAACGCACACTGCCCTGAGGCGGCAACAGCGGAAGATGAAGGACATGGAGACCTTGGTGGGAGTCCTTAGAACCCAGCTGTTTGTTTTCTCATTTCACATGATTCTTGTTTAACGTTTTCATTTTTTTTTGCAATAGATGTTGTTTGAGATGATGTTTGTTTACTAGTGTCATTTTGTGTGTGTGAAGAATCTTGAAAGTCCCTGAGGATGTGATAGGACCAAGTGAGTTTCTAATTAAAAAAACAGCTTCAGCAAAAGACACATTTAATTTTCACGGAGTGCTGAAAAGCCTCAAAAATCATCCTGGGTCAGAAGAAAAATTGGAGTGCCACAAAAGAGTACCACCCCTTCCAGGAGGTATACACCTGGACCTCCTGGAAGGGGAGTCCAGGCCTTGTCCCACTCAGGGTCGCCATGCAGCGCCGGTCTTCCGTGGCACGGGGCGCCGAGTGACACGAGGGGACTGGTGGGATGGTTGAGATGATGAAGACATTGGTTGGGATGAGAATGATGAGATGGCGGAGATTTTGGGGATAGCTCAAGTCACTCAAGTCGAAGCAACGTCTTCCTACGTACTTGGGGTGGCTTCGGACGGCTACGTCGCTTCGTTGGGCGGCCGGGCGGCCGGATGAGATGCGACGCCACCGGCGACCATGGACAGAGGACAGACTGTGTACAGTCTGTGGGCAGCCGACTGGAACTTTTGGCAAAACAGATATAAAGGCTGCCACGAACACATTTGGGTGTGTATTTAAATAAGAGGAAACAAGAAGGTGAGTGCTAGTGGCGAAACATTGCAAGTCACTGTGTTTTCTCATACTTGTTCCCTACCCACAATGTTTTGGTGGCTTGTAGCATGAACGCTTTTGGGCTTCCTTTTTTCATCGACTGATCACCGGCGAACTTCCAAATCCACGCGGCGAACCGCGGGCGTTTTCCCCGTTGGACAATCCGTCTCCGACTTGGGAAGACCTAAGCCTAAGCCGTGGACGAACCGATCCCCAAGTTCCCCCAGCTCTCCGCAACGCGTTCTGCGTCTTTTCTGTGATGGACTTGGGACTTCGGACGTCCGTCGCATGGTTCTGTCCCGCATGTTTTCCTTTGTCTATATTATACGGCGTCGGCAACGACGAAGTTTGGATTTCCCGCAAGTCCATGCATTCTTTGTAGACGTCCTCCAATGATTTGCTTTCCGTGCGTTGGAATAGGGCCGAGGATGGAAGGGATGATATACAGCACGGTACTGTTTTCTCATGCCGCTCTGGCAGCGCAAGCAGAATGGGACCCCTCTCAGAGCTCCACCTGAAGCTTTACGCAGCCACTCCATCAACCTCACTGCCGCTGAACAATTCCACATGCCCCACCATGCTAGAATACACAAAAAAGAATATCTATAGCATACATTTTCCTATGCGATGGCCTCCAACCTAATAGCGATGGCCTCCAACCTAACAAAAAAAGAACATCTATTAGACTATAGACCTTTTTGGACTAACGCAACCACAACGCTTCGCGCATGCCATCCGCATGCCGTGGAGATCCTGCGCGTTTGCGCCTACCTCGCTGCGCGCTTACCTTGCGGGCGCTGCGCGGTTCGGGGCCCCTGCTGTGCCACTTGGTGGTCTGTAAGCCGGATGGGGAAAGCCCTTGGGCTTATGGGGTGGGTTGACGTTCCCTTTCTTCCTGGTTTGTTGTTTCTCATTTCATAGACAGGGGGTACCCAAAAATGGTTTCTTAGCCTCTTTTGCAAAGACGAGCAGGAAATTCTTGTTTCTCCCGACCTTGAGGAAGATGCAGAGTACACAAGCTCATTGGATACATGAAGAACCATTGTGAAGCACTTTACTCGTAGCAAGAAGAGAAACTGAATAATCTGAATAGGCTCAGGCTCAACAATGTGTCCGCAGAAACAACACTAGCAGGTGAATCCTGCAGCTTGGTGGGACAACTCTTGCTATCCTCTTCTGGGTTCCTGTACGTCTACTTGCAGTTTTCACCATGACGTCGATCGCGGTTTCGGCCCCCTGACGCACTGCTGGGTCTCGACCCACGAGGCTTCTTCGTGTCTGGTCTTTTCATGGCAGGGAGGCTCAGAGCCACAAGGGCGGACTTCATGCTGTGCTGAAGCTGTGCCTTCAGCGGTGCATGTTGAGTTGTCCTTGTGGGACTTCAGACGGCCCATACCAGCACCGAACCCAACAGGTCTCCGAAATGGAGGGTTGGGAAGGGCCCTAACAGGTTTCAATTGGTGACTTGTTGGAGGTGCTGGTAGAGATTTCAGATCCGTAGTATAGACAGAATTCGTAAGGTCACACGGGACGTTTTCCTTCGATGTCCACGCATGTTTCAGACATTGCGCAGCAGCCTGGCCCTCTGTTGTCTCCAACACTAAGGGCAGTTCGCAGTTCTTAGTCAATCTTTTGACAGGTCCCTTTGGGTTGCACAAAAAGGACAATTCTGGTCCTTGGGAGTCTCTTCGTACCAAGATATCAGATGTGGCTGTGGGTCCAAACGATCTCGGTCTTTTCTGCAGCGAACGTGAACAGAATTTCTTCGGCCTGCCACTTACCAGGCTTCTTCCGGTGCCTCGTTCGAACGCTTCGGGGCAACCCAAACTCTCTCAGGCTCGGCCGTGCTTTTCTTCGGCACAGCGCTGGAAGCTTCAGGCGCCAAAAACGAAGATCAGTGCGCTGATGGGGCAACGGCCATCGAGAGTGGGTTGGAGAGTGGGGGATGGAGAGATTCCCCTTCTGAACAAGGAAACAGATTCACCATGCATGACTGGCGGCAGAAGAGCGACCGGCAAAGAACAGCCGGCACGCTCGCCGTTCATTGATGAAAGAAGACATGGCGGCCATCGCTGAATCGCTGAATCTTCTGCACAAGATGTTGACAGAATCAAAGACATCCTGAAACCAGGATTTTGACCCACTGGGTGACTTTCACCCCACCGAGCTCCAGGGTTTCTGCACCTGATTTGTCTCCGCCGGGGGACCTGGGAGCCTGGGGACCTCCTCAGGTGGCCTATGACGGTTCCAACTTTCATGGCTGGCAGCCCTTGAAGGGTTCCTTGGCAAAACAGAACAAGGGCTGCCAAGGTTGTTTTGAGCTGTGTAAGGTCTTTCTGCTTCACTTAGTTCAGTTCATGGGCGGCTTTCAAGTCGCAGCTTCTCTTTTAGCCTTTTTGTGAACGGACACTAAAGAAGTGCTTGACGCCTTCATTTCCAACAGCCATAGAACCTTGGCGAAAGCCTATAGACATATTTGTTGTGTGTCATCTCATTTCAATTCTTGTGGCTCTTATCCAATGCACTCAGGCTTGGGATCCGTAACCACCCCCTAGGAACCAAACAAACACTCTAGACCCCCCAAAGAAGCCAAGTACGTTGTTCTTCGCACGGCATCGGCAATCGCCAGGTGTTCCTGCAAGTGTTTTCTTCCACCGAACCCCCACCTTCTTCCTCGCCAAGATTTGATTCAACCGAGTTCAAGAAGCAACGACCAGTTAAGGGGATCACCATTCTTGTTGCAGGTCCCTACTAAGGGTCCAAGCATGTCAAAGCTGTGTCCAAAGAACCACCCTGACCGTCATGACTCAGACCGATGCCAATGGGGGACGACGGACGCGACTGGGGACGGGTGAGATTCACCGACCGAGGGCGCGAGGACGCGACCGAGGCTTAAGGACGGTGCAGGGTACCTTGCTGGATGCGCTGAAGCGATCCCACCCGGAGCACGGTGCCCGGACAGAGTACCGGGAGAGGGAAGGGACAGGGACAGGAAGGGTCGTGGCAGCAAGAATACATCCCAAGTGACACAAGTGTAAGAACACATTCGCACAAGTGAGCTAGGACCCAAACCCCCAAATGGATGGCTTTATGGGATTACAACCACAAGTGAGTTGGGACAGTACATAATGCCACTAGGTCCGCAGATGTTCAGCCATGGAGACCATGGATCTTGTGGCGACCAACTATGAAAAACAAGAAGTTGATCGAAAGATTCACCAGACGCCAATGTCTTTCGCAGTCGAGGGCTTTCACCGGGTTTGACCTTGAACGTTCTTTTCAAGTTCTCTTCTGGTGTCGAAGGCACGACGCCTTCGTCGTCTGCTTTGGGGTCCACTGACCAGTCGTCTGGACACATCATCGACCACGGCATGCGGATGTCTTGAGCGCTGAGATGCCTCAGACCACTGCTGTTTGGTACCGGTTTGTCTACCCAGCTGTCGAACGGCCCGTACGGTTCTACGCTGTCGAACTGTGCCGCTGCAAAAAACTTCCGTAAGCCTTCCAGCCTTCCATCCCATGGCCCGCAGGTGCCTCTTTTTGAGCCAATGTTTAGGCGTCGAAAATCATTTCACTGTTCCAACAGAGGTTTTCAGGACCCGACCGTTCGACTCATCCAGTTGGGTACCCCAGGTGGACCGGGGTCCCTTTTCAGGTCACCTAATCACTGTTCCTAGGCCGCGAGGTCGGCGATGCCTTGCAGCTGGTGGGATGTTCTCGTACGGACCGCGGGGTCCACGCAGAGGCAGGTGATGTGATCGGCCGATGGTGCCGGTACTGCAGGGCCAAGACTCGTGCGTAAAGACTCATTAGAACTCGGTGCTTTTTGCAGGTTGTTGGTGCTGGTACTTGTAAATGTAACTACATGTATATCATTATATAATGTAACTTGAGTCAAGAGCTTTGACAAAAAACGCAAACACTCACCCCGGACCTCGAGCCACCATTTAACGCGCTATCCGGAGTTTGTCCGAATTGTTGATTTGAACATGACTTCGAGATGAATTTGATTACTATAATGTTTTGTCGCCCAACAGTGTGGTAACACTAGGGGTTCTTACGGTAGTAGTTAAGGGCCGGTGTTTCATCGACTCCTTTGATCTCCGGTCTTCAGGCGCAGGTGGCGCACTGCGAGCTGCGGCACCTCGAGGGCCTCACGGGCGACGTTCTGCGGCGGCGCTGCAACCGGCGCCTGCCGTCGGACGTGCGGCTGGGATCGGCTGACGTTGGGGGGAGAGATAGGGTAGAGCAAATTCCATTTGTCAAAGTATGATATTGCCACAAGAATAGATTCTGGGGTGAACTGAGTTCGAGTTCTGTTTGCTTGGTGTAACGACCCACTCGCACAAAAAAGAAGCCTCACAGCCAGCCAGCCAGGCTAGCGGCTGGCCGGGTTCTTGTTTTCGTGTCGGCATGGGGTCCTGAGATTCCGTTCTGGTTTTGAGTCTTGAGTATCACCCATTTTTCTCAATCAACACGGGTAAAAACCATGTAAAAACCGTCTTTATCGACGCAAAGTTCAACTATTGGGCTCCCAGCTCCCTGAACCGGTTGCGCACCGCCTGGTCCTTCCTGCAAGAAGAGCCCGGCGGTCGCCGGTCGCTGGTCCTCCGAGGCGGGTGTTGCAAGTGGAGCAGGTGGACCGCAGCTTCCACGCGCGGCGCTCCGCCCTGCGCAAGTCGCTTGGGTCTTGGGGAGGTGAGTGGCCACTCACCGGCAGGTTGGCAGGTTGCTCAAAGTGGTGGAGGGTGCGAACGGAGTGAACGGTGGCGATGTTTTTGAAGGTTGGAGAAGGAGATTTCCACAATGAGTGATATACAATGGTTTAGGAGCCCACGTACCAAAGTCGCACGATGTCTCGAGAGATTCCTGACGACCGGGCATGTTCCCGACAGGTTGTTTTTTTTTAAGACGCTTCTTTTTGACTATAGGTGGATTTAGGGTCGCACCGCGGATCGTGGGCCAAAGAAAAGATCAGGGATGGATGTATATATTACATACCCAGACGCTCCGAACAGCCCGACTGGTCCCTCAAAGCCTATTAGGGATTTGGGACGGACCCCAGACCCCTGCTGATCGGGCTACGAGCATCTCGGGTGCGAAACGCGTGGTGCTTTCGAGTCTCCGGCGGAGAGCACCGAGTGGGCTCGGGCACCAGGGCCTTCCGACCGACGCCGTCGCCCCAGCCGAGGTCTTATCGCTACGACCTCCTGCTGGCCGATGAGGCATCACCCTTCGAGGTGGGATGGGCATCCCTTATTTTGGGTCGGGGAAGTCCATGATGCCAAGTACCCTTGCATTTCTACGGGCATTTACTGTACTTTTTGCTTTCTTCCACAATCTCACGTGGTTGGATGAGTTCTGGAATGAACAGGAGAGGCATCATTTTTGGTGTGCGGATGATGTGGGTGAGTGATGCCTGCAGCGAGCAAGGTGATGTTCATTTCGTACACGAACCCTTGTTCTCATATTAACTTCTATCGTCTATCACTGCCACTTCTTTGACTTTTATCTTGTCAGGTGGTCCCCCATCACCCAAACCGCCATGTTCCTGACGCAGCCAACAGACCCGCGCGGCGTGCGGGTTCGTGGCACGAGGAATTACACCACCGTAGGCCCCAAACAGTTTGTGTTTTCAAAATCGAAACTAGAGCTTGCGACGTCCAGAGGTGGGAGACAAAGGATTGCAAGGCAGAGGCGGCCGCAGCAGCCCAGAGCTGGGAGACAAATGTAAAGGATTGCAAGGCAGAGACGGACACAGCAGTACAGAGCGGGCGGACACATCTTAAGAAAGAATTGAGAAGCCCTAACAGTAAACCTTTTGGGGAATTATTCTTCAAGTGCGAACATGATGCTGGTCATGCTGCTCAATCAGCGGGGAGTTGACCACGTGAGGACAAGAAGCAAAAGCATGAGGAGCGAAGGATGTGACATGAAATTGATTTTTGGTGCCTGACGTATGCCCCCCGTCCCAACTGAACAGAGAGATGGCTGCCACGCCGCCGAAATCCAATCCGGTCATTCATCCAACGCTTGCCCGAAAAGGAAAACAAAGCTGAGTGTTACACAGTGTGACAGTCACGCAACAGGTGAACCTGTTCCAGCCGACAGGGCAGAAAACAGCAGTGCATGGACCAAACCTGAAAGACAAAAAGAAAGAAATCACATGGGAGACAAATGAATAGAAATGCTACATGGCCAGCGGAAAAGGGCGGCAGCACCAGTGACAGACCCGGGAAACAAATGAATAGACATGCTGCATGGCCAGCGGAAAAGGGCGGACACCAGCAGTAGACCTGGGAGAAAAATGATAAATTAGAAATGCTACATGGCCAGTGGAAATGGGCGGACACCAGCAGTGACACATCTTAAGAAAGAATTGAGAACCCCTAACAGTAAACTGTTTGGGGCAAAAGTTGGAGACAAATGCAAGGAAGTGGGAGACAAGCCGGCCGGAAACAAGCACCCAGCCTGGGAGACAAATGAAAAGAAGTGGGAAACAAATAAAAGGAAGTGGGAGACAAGCCAGCCGGGAACCCGACCACAAGCACCCAGCCTAAAGGAAGTGGGAGACCGGCCGGGAACCCGACTACAAGCACCCAGCCTGGGAGACAATTGAAAAAACTGGGAGACAAATGAAAAGAAGTGGGAGGCAAATGAAAGGAAGTGGGAGACAAGCCAGCTGGGAACCCGACCACAACCACCCAGCCTGGGAGACAAGTGAAAAGAAGTGGGAGACAAATGCAGGAAGTGGGACCCAGCCTGGGAGACAAATGAAAAGAACTGGGAGACAAATGAAAAGAAGTGGGAGACAAATGAAAGGACGTGGGAGACAAATGAAAAGAAGTGGGAAACACATGAAAGGAAGCGGGAGACAAGCCAGCCGGGAACCCGACCACAAGCACCCAGCCTGGGAGACAAATGAAAAGAACTGGGAGACAAATGAAAAGAACTGGGAGACAAATGAAAGGACGTGGGAGACAAATGAAAAGAAGTGGGAAACAAATGACAGGAAGTGGGAGACAAGCCAGCCGGGAACCCGACCACAAGCACCCGGCTTGGGAGACAAATGAAAAGAAGTGGAAGACAAATCCACAAGCACCCAGCCTGGGAGACAAATGAAATTACACCACCGTAGACCCCAAACAGTTTGTGTTTTTCAACATCGAAACTAGAGCTTGGACAAAGGATTGCGCAAGGCAGAGGCGGCCACAGCAGCCCAGAGCTGGGAGACAAATGTAAAGGGTTGCAAGGCAGAGACGGACACAGCCGTACAGAGCAGGCGGACATATCTTAAGAAAAGAATTGAGAAGCCCTAAACCTTTTGGGGAATTATTCTTCAAGTGCGAACATGATGCTGGTCATGCTGCTCAATCAGCGGGGAGCTGACCACGTGAGGACAAGAAACAAAAGCATGAGGAGCGAAGGATGTGACATGAAATTGATTTTTGGTGCCTGACGTATGCCCTCCGTCCCAACTGAACAGAGAGATCGCTGCCACGCCACCGAAATCCAATCCGGTCATTCATCCAACGCTTGCCCGAGAAGGAAAACAAAGCTGAGAGAGTTACACACTGCGGCAGGAATGCAACCCCGGAGACAGTCACGCACCCATTTCAAAGGAGCAAGAACCTTTCACAGGTGAACCTGTTCCAGCGGACAGGGCAGAAAACACCAGTGCAGGCACCAAACCTGAAAGACAAAAAGAAAGAAATCACATGGGAGACAAATGAATAGAAATGCTACATGGCCAAAAGAGATGTGGTAGACAAATGAATAAAAATGCTACATGGCCAGCAGAAAAGGGCGGACACCAGCAGTGACAGATCCGCGAAACACATGAATAGAAATGCTGCATGGCCAGCGGAAAAGGGCGGACGCCAGCAGTGACAGACCTGAAAAACAAATGAATAGAAATGTTGCATCGCCAGCGGAAAACGGCGGACACCAACAGTGACAGACCTGGGAGACTAATGAATAGAAATGCTGCATGGCCGACGGAAAAGGGCGGACACCACCAGACAAATGAATAGAAATGCTACATGGCCAGCGGAAAAGGGCGAACACCAGCAGTGACAGACCTGGGAGACAAACGAATAGAAATGCTACATGGCCAGCGGAAAAGGGCGGACATCAGCGGAAAAGGGCGGACACCAGATGGCCAGCGGAAAAGGGCGCGAACCCGACCAGAAGCACTCAGCCTGGGAGACAATGAAAAGAAGTGGGAGACAGTTGAAAAGAAGTGGGAGACAAATGAAAGGAAGTGGGAGACAAGCCAGTTGGGAACTTGACTACAAGCGTGGGAGACAAATGAAAAGAACTGGGAGACAAGGGAGTGGGAGACAAGCCGACCACAAGCACCCAGCCTGGGTGAAAAGAAGCGGGAGACAAATGAAAGGAAGTGGGAGACAAGCCAGCCGCACAAGCACCCACCCTGGAAGACAAATTAAAAGAACTGGGAGACAAATTACAAATAGAAAGAAGTGGGAGACAAATAAAAAAAGGACGTTGGGAGACAAGCCAGCCGCCACAAGCGCCCAGCCAGACGGGAACCCGACCACAAGCACCAGCCTGGGAGACAAATGAAAAGAACTGGGAAACAAATGAAAAGAAGTGGGAGACAAATGAAAGGAAGTGGGAGACAAGCCAGCTGGGAACCCGACCACAAGCACCCAGCTTGGGAGACAAATGAAAAGAACTGGGAAACAAATGAAAGGAAGTGCCAGACCGTCCAGCACCAAGACGACCATTCTTTAAAGCATTGAGAACCCCTAACAGTAAACTGTTTGG